AGAAAACAAAGTGAAGATTTACGTTGTGCTAAACAAACTACCTTGAAGTCCTATGGTTTGTTATTTAAACTAAGAAAAATGTTTAGTTGTCGTAAACTCGACGTACTGTTGTAGATCGTCATCCCTTGTCCGCTACGTCCTATTCGTGTTGCCCACGAAGAGTTGTTTCATGTTCCATGTAGTAATAGTTTCAGGTTTAGTGTCTTATATGTAAGTGTGCAATATTGTTTTTTTGATGACTTACCGCTATATACCTCCTAAACCAGACTATATTCAAAAGGTTTTGAAGTTAATTTAAAACGAACATAAACTAACTATGCTATAAGGAAATTCAGTAAATAAAAACAGTATAAGGTGCGATAAATAAAAGCAGCATAAAGGAAATGTAGTAAAGTGCTATAAATGTACTGTAAACTTTAGGTACCTGAGTTTCTTGTTATTGCTGCACCTGTAAATGGGATCAGCGTCGTAGGTAACAATATAGTAGAGAAATTCAGCTAGCAGGATAAACATGTGTTTATGTATAACATAATAAATGACAAAATAATATATGGAAAGCCTTGAGGAAAATTGAAATCGACCTACAGAGTCTCGAAACAAATCGTAGGTAAAAAAAAAATAAAACAAAACACAATGTCACATATAAATGACTAAAGGTATGAGATTTATATGTGACATTGAGAATGTTTCCAATTGTAAGGAGGATTTGAGTGTAAGATTCAAGCTCAAATCTCAGAGCATTATGTTTCAATTTAGGTCAAGTTATGAAGAGAAATTCACTATTTCATTCAATTAAATCAGCTATGAACCATAGCTCGGTGCATATCATGTCTATTGCTTTAACTAACTTATAAATTAGGGTCAAGTGCCTAGCTTCAATGTACATTTAAAAATTAGGTAGATGAACTCTCACCTAGGGTGTACTCCTAAAATCTAAGAAGCCTACACTTTAACTTGAGCTTGATGTGTTTTAAATTGTTATCTTCAATTATGTGTTTTTCAACTAATCCTCGAACATCTTTGAATCAAACTTAGCCCACTATCATGCTCTTAAGACCTAGGGGGTAAACCTATAATTTTGCCAAAAAAGTTCATGAGGTATGCTTTAATCGTAATTAAAACAATTGGGCTTAAGTCTATCCAATGCTTAGGGGTCCTAATTGATAACCTATTAATCTTTAAATTCATGCCCCTAACTCTTGAATCATTTAAACTCCTACTTTCTCCTAATTTTCAACAATTCTCACTATTATAATTTTATCCTTCTTATGTAAAAAAGGTGAATTGTTTGTCACACTATTTCTCCTTGGGTTTCAATTATCTCAACAGACTAATAATCATTTATATATTTTTAGTTCCCTCCCCTCTAATTATCTCTTTTTTTTTCTTCTTAAAGGCGTTATTCAATTTTGAAAATAGTTAAATCAGAAATTCTCATTTTTAACTTAATCATTAGCAAGAAAAAGAAAAGAAAAAAAAAAAAAAACCAATTAAGTGGAGGAGGTCGACCCACTTAAATAAAATCAGCAAAGCCAGGAGCGAAACCACAAGTGAATCGGTCTAAAAGCGTTTTAAATTTTTTCAAAAATAAATAATCAAATCAAGTCCCAAAAGGTGCTTAAAAGCCTCCAAAAATCAACACTTAAAAGTGTCCAAATCGATGTATAAAAGCTTTAAAATGCAACTTAAATCTTAACGAATAAAGCTTCAAAATGACGAATAAGGTTTCAAATTTCAACTTAAACCTTAACGAATAAGGCCTTAAAATGCAACTTAAACCTTAACAAATAAAGCTTCAAAATGACGAATAAGGTTTCAAATGCAATTTAAACCTTAACGAATAAATCTTTAAAATGACGAATAAGGCTTCAAAATGCAACTTAAATTTCAACAAATAAAACTTCAAAATGTGGCCCAAAAGTCACTAAAGAGAGCTTCAAAGTGCAGTCCAAACACCACTGAAGAGAGCTTCAAGTGCAGCCCAAACACCACTAAAGAGAGCTTCAAAGTGCAGCCCAAACATCACTAAAGAGAGCTTCAAGTGCAGCCCAAACACCACCCAAACACCACTAAACTTCAAGTGCAGCCCAAACACCACTAAAGAGAGCTTCAAAGTGCAGCCCAAACACCACTAAGACAGGGCAAAACAGCAGCCCAGATTAGTGCCAAAAAACATCTTAAAAACAGCCAACGAAACCCCTCATAAACAGGGCAAAACTGCAGCCCGAATCAGCCAATGAAAGCATTTTTCAAAAGGCTCCAAACCGCAGCCAATTCAACCCAAAAGACGTGTTTTTAAATGCTCTAAAATGTAGCAAATTCAGCTCAAAATATGCATTTTTAGAAGCTCCAAAACCATGTATATAGGTGGCCCAAAATAGTGCTCAAAACCTTTCCAAAACAGTTCTTAATTCAACCCAAAAAAAATATTTAAACCCTTCCAAAACAGTGAATAAACAACTTTAAAACGATGCTTAAATCTGCCCCAAAACCACACATATATCTCTTCCAAATCGACAAAAGTTCAGCATAAATACACACATAAATTCCAACAAATGTAACACCGATGCTTATAGTCAACCGAATGTAGCATAAATATGTCTCCAAACCAATCAAATGAATGCTTCTCGAGCCACATAAACCCAAGCCATAGACATCTTGGGACTTTCAAAATGAAGCTTTCAATTATAAAATATAACTTTCAAAATTTTAAGCTGCATAAAGACTTCTTGCACACATGAATCAAACAAGAAAGGAAAGCTTAAAAGATTCGCAATAGTGCCTCCAAATATGCTATGAAGCAGATGAGGGCTAAAGAAAGACAAGCTTCATAGGATTCAAATCAAAGTGATGCATTAGGGAATTAGAAGCTTTCTCCAAGTAAGACAAACAAATAAAGTTAAAGCTTAATCCAAGGCTACTCAACAATAAACATTCCATAGTAAAGTAACACATAAAGATTAGCTTCCACAATTAATTATTTGCATCATTCTTGCTGAGATAAGCATCCAAAAAATGAATCTCAATCTTTCAAGTAGACGGCAGAATACAAATAATTCATCCAGCCAATATGAATTAAGAAAATTTAAATGGACTAGGGTAACAGTTTAAAACACCATCCGCAATATCCTCAAAATGTTGTAATTTACTATTGCGAACATCAAATTTTGGGTGGTAGAAATGTAAACAAATAAGCAATTGGATGGTAGATACGCAAATATAAGAGCTTATTTGTTAGACACATAAATACGAAAAGATTGCTTGACATGGATGTAAATCAGCCTATGTGCACATAAACATGATACAAATCGCAATTCTTCAAATAAAGTTCCAACCCTGTATGAAATTTCAATTTGCCACAAAGATGAAGCAGACTTCCTAAATCTCCTTCCCAGCAAAAGCTGAAATGAATCAGCAAATTGTTGAAGGCATTGAAGTACTTGTAGCTGCATGCTTAAGACACCATATTTCCTCATAGAAAACGAGAACTCCTCATTCTCCACAATTAAAAAGAAAAAAAAAACTTTCAGATATTTTTTTTTTTTTAAAGAATGGGAGTGCATAAGCTTAAGACTTTCACCGACCCAATTTATCAAGATTTTCAGTTTCAGCTTTTCAAACATTGCGGCCTTAAAAAATGTATGGAATGTGCATAAGTTTAGGAGAAAAAATAAAAAATTTAAAAAATAAAAGAAAGGTCTTTTTTTATTATTATTAATTTTATAATATTTAATATTAAAATCTCTCAATCCTTGCATTTTTTTCTTGTGCATAAAAATCATAGCAAAATGTATGTCTCCCCTAGGTAAAATTGACACTCCAGACGCGCAAGTGTAGTCCGTTTCGTCATCCAAGGTCATTCGGACAAGTTCATCGATTTGCGTGTGATTTGCTCGTATGTAGAATTATATCAATATGGGTGTCATTCTTAGGTAAAATTGACGTTCTGGACTAGCAGACGCAATCTGTTTTGTCATCCGAGGTCGTTTGGACAAACTTGTTGAAAGTTGAGTGCAAAATGCGTGAAATTCGATTTGTCTTCAAATTTCGGGTTCTTGATCGGTCATTTCAAAAATTGACTTGTGTTTTGATTAATTGTGAAGTTTTTTCGGGTGTAAGTGACGCGAACTATGATATTTGTGTGTGCGAATGTACTAAAGTCATTATGGGTGTCCTAAGGTTTTTAAACCCTACGAGATCTCTTTTTGGGCCTCCGCATGATGGTCCATAACCACTCGACCAAATGATGATAATTTGTGAACACAACCACTCGATCAAATGGTGATGATTGGAGACCACCTAGGCGAGGCTTCACAAAAGAGTTAAGAGATGGCCGAAGGCGTGCAAAATCCTTCGAAGCCAATCATAAGATGTGAGAGGGGCTAGGGTGATGAAGAGTAAATTAATATTTTAGGAGGAATAAAAACCAAAATGCACACCCCTGTATTGTAGCGACCGAGGTGGTATGTGTGGGGGGATGGGGGCGGGTTCAGGAGACGCAAAGTGGGTTTACCCCTGAACCCATAAAAAAAGTAGGCAACCATTTTCATGTTTTTTTCATTTCTATTTCTATTTTACATGCATATTTGGAGATGATTCCACATATACATGTATTTTGTGCACCCAAGGCAATTTGGTCTTTTATCAATTTTTACTGTTTAGTATTAATAGTGCTAATATGTTTATGGTTAGGGTTATACTTGAGATTATTGTTGTGAGTCTTAGGTTTTGGATTTGTGAGAGATTTCCTATCTCTCGAATTGTAAGTATTGAGAGAGATCGCCTACCTCTTGAATTGTAGGTGCTTATCTTTTTACTCGTGTTGAACGTTTGATGTTCTTGCAATAAAATATGTTTGTCCTAATTTTTGTGAAAAATTATTTAAATATAATTGCTATTATCTTTGTTTGCTGCATTGATGAGCTTCATTATTTTATAGCAGTATTCACAGCTCTACCTAAAAACATTTTTTACATTTATATTTTTCAATTCTGTAACAGAAAAATAAAGATGGGCAACTTTTATTGGCATCAACATTGACAAAAACAACTTCAGTTGCACATGGTAATCTTCAAGATGATGGGAACCTTTCTTTTGGAAGGTTAGTTAAAATTATAAAGGCTAAAGTTAACATGACTGCTACATTTGGTGTTTCTTGCAAAATATTTTCATTTGTATTATAATAGTATTTTCTCCTACTTCTAATCATTTTAACTGAATAGTGTTATATCGGATCCGTTTTTTCTTTATTTCAGCATGCTCTTGCAAGCTTTGGTAACAACAAAAAATGGAGATCTGGAGGTGCGGAAGCTATCTTTCTTTGCTTCTGGACTAATTTGAGAGTTTTTGTTTTTGTTTCCATAAGAACTTGTTATCGTTTTACATGTCAACAAATTTTAATTTATAATTTATTTATGTAGTTTCATCTTTTTCATTCGAAGCGTCCCTCAAAATTTGAAAAATATTAAAATATTTTTAATTGGTTGGACAAATTGTTTATCTCGAGTTGTATATGTTAGCTTATATATCAATTTTTTCAAATTTAACTTGTTTCCCTAAACCCTACTATTTCTGATTCTTCTTCGTACTGCACACTGTGCTTGCCTTCATCCATATTTTTTTTCCAATAAACCATTAATTATAAGTATTATATCATATTATATTCATCTGAAAGAATATGCTGATTGCTGAATAAAGAATTTACTGTACCCTTAAACAACAGAAACCAACATTTTAAATCTCCTAGATCATGTTGGATGTCATGACTGCTAATGTTAAAAGTTTGTTTTCCACATCCACGTCCTGCATGGAGTAGATTTTGCCATTTGATTTTCTTTTCCTGATTATTCGGTCCTGCTTTCATATTGCTGATTGTATTTTTGTTTTTGATTAAACAGAGAAAGTGAAAGCATATTTGTATTTTTGAGGTTTATGCTTTATAATTTATGTTCTCATATGCCATCACAGTAAAATTGTTTTCATCACAACAGTGCTGAGTTCTTACACAACTGGCATATTCTTATGCAGATGTGCGCCAGAGCTTGTAGCATTCTTTCTCATATAATAAGGGACAATATTCACTGCAAGGAGCGTGTATGTACTTTTTTTTTTGCTTTGCAAGTTTCTGTTCTAAAGCATGTTGTAGTTCAGTTAATTTACTTCAAAAAATGCATATTTAAGTCTACTTTGAAACTCTCATTCTTAGAACTTGATGTAAGTTTGCAGGTCTTACAAGTCAAGCTTGATGAACCAGTCCCTTCTTTGGGCTCGCCCGAACCGTTAATCCATCGGCTAGTTAAATACTTGGCTTTCGCTGCCTCTTCGAAAAATAAAAATAGCAATCAGTCCAACACAAATGGATTAGCGGATAGCCTATACATCCAACCAATTATTCTTCAATTGCTTGTTACTCTGTTGGCCGATTGTTCGGATACCGTCCACTGCTTTCTCGATTCACCAACACATCTTACATATTTACTGGACTTAATTTCAAGCCCTCAAGTCAGCATATTTGTTCGGGGATTGGCCGCCTTAGTTCTCGGAGAATGCATCATCTACAACAGTTCTGTAGAGAATGGTAGAGATGCTTTTGCTGTTGTTGATGCCATCAGCCAAAAGATCGGTCTTTCTTCGTATTTTGCGCACTTCGACGAGTTACAGAAGGCGTTTAATTCTCACTTCGCTGCATCAGCTCCCATCAAGCCACCCATAAGGTCTAGTTCTGCCAGCATGCTGGACATACAAGAGGTTGAGGATGATGGGCTGGATCAAATGCAGGATCACCCGATTCTCATTGCTGTTCTTGATTCATTATTCGTTGCTTTTGTTAAAAAACTTGAAGCGGAAATCAGAGAAAAGGTGGTGGATATCTTCAACAACACGAAAAACAAGGCTGTGATTGTTCCTTCTGAGCTGGAGCGAAGGGATGGAGAGATTGATAGGGATTACATTAAAAGGTTAAAGTCTTTCGCAGAGAAACAATGCCATGATATGCAGGTTGCTTCAATTCTGCTTCATCTCTCATATTAGTTTAGTTTAATTATATTTGTAAATCAGGTTCGCGGCTCAGGTTTGGGTCTGACCGCAATTGACTCAACTTCAAATTGCTTGACCCGAATATTTAACAGGCAGAAAATCCAACCTGAACTCGACCCTGTAGCCCGTTTAACTTGAGGCATAACAGCTGTTCGGGTTTGATTTCATGCCAATTTTGAGTTGCTCAAGCCAATTTTGAGTTGGCGTGTTAATTTTGTATCAATTTGGGTTAACATGTCAGATTTAGGTCAATTTCGGGTTGATGAGTTAACTTGAACCCGGCCCAAATAATTAAGCAAGTTAAAATTCTTAACCCGAATGGGCTGGACCCAACACAAATTATTCACGTCAACCTGAACCCTGATGTTTTGAGTTAAGTTCGTGTCGATTTGGCGTATCAGTTCATTTTTTGACACCACTAGTTTAAAGAATGCTTCATTATCATCTTTCATGATTGGAGTGCAGGATCTGCTCGCGCGGAATGCAACATTAGCTGAGGAATTGGTGAGGACTGGTGGAAGCGAAGCACTGGAAGCTGCCGCCATGAAGCCGAGCAGCGGGAGAGACCGGATCCAGTTAGAGTCACTCCGTCGCGAGCTGCATGAAGCAACGAAACAACTCGAAATACTGAAGATGCAGAAAGCTAAGATCGAAGAGGAAGCCAACTACTACCAGAATGCAGCCGGAAAGCTGGAATCTGACCTAAAGAGTCTATCAGATGCTTATAACAGCTTGGAGCAAGACAACTTCCGACTCGAATCGGAGGCGAAAGCTTCAAGGAAGGAAGGGAACTTGTTCCATCCTGATGTGGAAGCCATTCGAGCTGAAGCACGAGAAGAAGCTCAAAAAGAGTCCGAAGCTGAGCTGAACGATCTGCTCGTCTGTCTGGGTCAGGAGCAGAGCAAGGTGGATAAGCTGAGCACGAGACTTGCGGAGTTAGGCGAGGATGTGGAAAAGCTTCTTGAAGAAATAGGGGATGAATCTGGCTTGCCAGATGAAGAAGAAGAAGAAGATGGTGATGAAAAGTGAGAGAGATGTAAATTGATGCCTCTGAGGTTTATTTTAACTTCTTAAATTTGTTGGCACTGTATAGATTGCACAGCAAATAACAAACTGAAGGCTTGTCTTGTTGCCTCTTTCTAAACTGAAGATTCATGATTGTATGGTGATATTTGTTATGGGATTTTCAGGCTAAGGTAATTATTATTATTATTATTTTTTATTTTTGTTATTGTTTCATGATATTTCTTTGTGGGTAATTGTGTGCTATATATATTTTGCTTCTATTGTTGCTTTGTTCATGTAAATGCAATTATTAATAGAAATAATTAAGATATTATCAATATTTAGAAAATCATTTGTAAGAAATTACATAATAAACCTTTCAATTATATTATAAATATGTTAGAATGCCTAACTGTAACTCCCAATCAATAACAATTTATTTTGGTGTGAGTAAGATGTATTTAGCATTTATTCTGAATCAGTATGTATTGTTTTCTTGTAGCTCTAGACTCAAATCATGCAGTTCTTTTTAGGGATTTTTATACAAACAACATAATTTTTTATATATTTATATATCTACCATGTGGAGTTTGATATTTATATACATAACATTTAAAATTTTAAATCAACTAAAAATGCCATTAATATTAAATTTTTAATGTTTATAAAGTTAAATATCTTAAATTTAAAAGGGTGTTAATTGAGAATACCGCTTTCCACATGTGATATCCGTCCCCGTAGTGTTCGATCCAGGATCAAAGGGTCTTTCAATTGATAACGCAGCTGCCTACTAACTTGACTCTCAATGGCACGCATGCGCACACACACAAATATATATATATA